TTAGTCCACATGCTGATGTGCTATCCACTAAGCCAACCCAGCTAGGGCTCTGGATGTATTTTGTTCATCAGTTTATGATGTTCATTAGATTCCACATATGAGTGAGATCATGTGATACTTGTCTGTCTCTGACTGGCCTGTTCCCTTAGCTTCATGCTCTCCAGGTCCCTCCATGCGGGTGCAGACGGTCAGCGTTCCTTCTCTGACAGCAGCGCTCCTGGACCCTGTGCGCCCTGCAGCTGTGGCTTTTGAGATGCCCATCAGACGCTAATATGACGCTCACGGCAGGGCCTTGCTGATGGCGCTCGTTGGGTTTGAGAAGTTCTCTTCCTCCCGCTAATACATCGGCAGAGCGACCCCGGTGCCAGCGGCTGAAGCTTGCCAACTCCGAAGTCACTTCATACGCAGAGTCACTCTGAGATCAACTGTCCGGTGGACGGAGACCCCGGTGGCCAAGTCCTCAGGCCCCGCCACGTGACCATCGCCTGTGGATCGCGGACGGCCCAGCTGAATCGCTTTCCTTCTGCCTCACGTGCCTAAACCTGAGAATGTCCTCAGCGAGTCTGCTGGCAGCAAACTCGGTTTCACTGTGTCTGAGTGCATCTTTGTTTGAGCCTCATTCTTGAAAGAGAAACATTAATTGATGATTATTTTCTATTAGCGCTTTGATGGATTAGTTCCTCCGGCTTCCTTCCTCACTGTTGAGAAGGCATCCATCGAATGGTTGCGAGTGTTTGTGGTGGTCTGTTCTCCTTCGCTCTTTGCCGTTTCACAACAATAAGTAGGATTTTTATTTATGTGGATTGGAACTCCTGGGCCTTCCGGGCTATAACAATCCCTACATGACAACAATTACGAAAAATGCTAAGCCTTGCGTGTATTGATTCTTATCCTTTATCTTTACTTGCTCTCTCAGGAACTCCTAAGACAAAAATTAAAACTTTCCCATGTGTGTGTGTGTGTGTGTGTGTGTGTGTGCGCGCACGCGCGCGTGTGTGTGTCTCCACCACTCTGTCATGTTTTTCATCTCTCTCCCCTGTTTCTGAATTCTGGATGGTTTCTCTAGCTCTCTCTGCTCACTAATTATTTTTTCAAATTTCTCCAATCTGCTGTTTAATATCCATTGGCGGAATTTTAATTCCATTTATAGAGGATAAGATTATGAGAGCGCTCTTTTTCAAGTTTTTATGCTTTTAAATAAACTCTTGCTGGTTTTTATATTTTCAAGCTCTTGTTTCGCGGAACATAGAAAATATAGTTTTACCCTGATGACTGCCATTTCGTGCTCCTCGTGGGCTTCCTTTTGCTGCCCACTGTTCGGTGGCTCTTGTGCACGGGGCCTTGTTTCCTTCGGGGTTTTATGTTTAAATGTCAGCTAGTTATTTTCCTTGGACTTACATGTGGGAATATTTCATACCTGGCTGGGCTCAAGTAGGGTTTGCATCTGTTTCTGCCAGTTCCTGGTATTCCACCAAACTGGAACGAC